AAGCGTTGAAAGCAGTATTTTTGGTTTCTGGTGGTCGATGCGAAATATACTGGAACCTAATCACCCTTGCATGCATGGCACATCACAAACTACGCGAAAAATTCCTAGCGAATGCATGGCTTTTTTTAACTTTCGTTTATTTGTTTATTAATTCCTTTCAGTGGCACAGAGACGCTGACATTGTTTATGGGATGCGCCACGCACCGGTCTTCCACTCAAAACCCTAGCAAAGTGGGAATATGAATCCATGGAATATAGGGCCTAAAGCGGATCAAGCAAGTCTCCGGGCTAACTGATGGGCTCCTTGCAGTATTTAAGCAACAGTAACTCCTTTACCCTTCCGAAAGGTCACATACGACCCACAGGTCGCGGATCATGACATATGGCACGTACCCTGCTAACAAGGGACGGATGGTACGTTGAAGTAGCCATTTGAAATGAAATGTGTACCGGCTGAAAGGTCTTTGGACGGGGATTACGAAACCGTCTTCCATACAGCTGCTGACCTCCCAGAAAAAAGTCACGGAGTTTTTTAGGGGGAGAATACTCACATTCAGTATCTTTTTTTTCTGGGACTCCGCAGCAGATATGGAAGAAAGTTTCGTAATCCCCGTCCCATTCGGTACACATTTCATTTCAAATGGCCACTTTAACCTACCATCCTTCCTTTGTAAGGAGCTCCACTATCACAGGACCATTCCTGTTTCCAGAAAGATTGAGGACACAGCTAATCTGACGAATTGTTCAGAATTAATCATCTCCCCTGATAGATTTCCCATCAATGTGCCCTGCAGTCACAATTTACGTTTTCGTTGAACGTGTGTCGCCCCTTCTCATTTACTATTAAAAATGCTGATCGTCAACTGGAGAAACAACTGGAGCTTACTTAGATAAAACTTTAATTCTGCAAGTACTGAGGTCGTATTCAATGCACAATCAGAGTTAGAATCAGCAATTAGCAGAAGAGGAAGTATCTCGCACTGAACACTACGCTAAAACAAGTAACCACTAGATCGAGTCCCAACGAGAAGCGAGTGATACGTGACTTCTATCGCCTTCTTATGAGGTACCGATCACAACAGTGTTACCCTTGAACGAGTAAGCTGGCACATGAAGGTTCAACGGAGCTGGTCCCTGAACTCATAAGTGACATGAAAAGTGGGTGAAATCTTCAAAACCTTGAAAAGTGGGTGAAATGTTCAAAACCTAAGTGCCCTTACCTTTCTTATACGTCCGGACGCATCATAATGGGATCCGTGACACGGGCAGAAGTAGCCACCGAAGTCACCGGCATTTGCTAGAACATTCATGCATGAATATGAGATATCTGTTGGAGCACGAAACGAATGGAAAATTTCATGGGTAATGGATGCCTCCTGGTGCATTCATTACCCATAAAATTTTGAAAAAAGTAGAAATGTCTTCGTTAACATACCAATCGGCACACATCCAAGATGGGTGCAAACACCGATTACCACCGACCATTCCGGCTTTTGCACACGTTCATCATCATGTTCAGCATGGCGTAATTCGGACACATTCACAGCTTTCTCTCTAAAAATTGCCGAAAAATATTAGTGGATAGCCCATAAATGGTAACTGCTTCAGGCTCGAATTCAAGCAGAGTAATAGTAAAGGGATCTGACAAAACTAAACACAGCAAGGACTTATAAGAAGGGAATCATCAGTCATTGAGGGGTATTTATTACTTGACTGTATACAGTCGATAACGCCGCAATCAGGGCGGGGACGGTATTAGAAGGGGCGGGGTGAACCTACGTGCGACCGCTTTGCTCTACCAATGGTGATCGATTACGGAAAGAAACAACCAGTGGTGGAAACGCTGCGGGTAGGCTCATTCCACCCCTCTTGAGACCACCCAGACTGATTGCCACTCAACCAAGGCGTTCCGGTGGGATCTGCACCCTGAGCGCCATAATTTTTTTTACCCAGCTTCCCAACATCTTTTGTAAATATTCCTTGAGATCAGGAACTTCTGGCTTAATACATAGGTCATTTAGCGACGACAATGACAGGAAAAAGTGTTGTGTAAATGACTTTAAATAGTTGCTAGTCAAAATCCCCTTCCCTTCAATGAGGACTCATGATATGAAAGCCAGTGCGTGCATCTTCCAGCATGAATCATTCATAATGTAAGAGTTAGAGAAGTGAAGAATCGATATTGAGCTTAGCTTCATCGATGACGCTTGCTGATTACAGGAGGCGGAGCGATACAAAAGGCGAGGAGACGAACGATGGAGGAGACTGGAGGACCGTCCTGCTGGACACTGACGTCGGACACACTCACCACACGGACCTCTGCCGCCCTCGGGCCCAGAACTTCCTGCCACTATTCTATTCGGTCATTATTGCTAATAAACTGTTAATACACCACCTGTGCTAACTATAATGCCGCTTTCAGAGGCTGTGCCCTCCCGTGATACGAAGCGGTGTGCTACCACATCAAGCCCCAAACTGGAAAAATGAGGAGCATTGTAGAGGCCCACTTTGGCGATTCTCGTCCCTGAGTCAGTTATCCCAGAGGATAAATGATCCTGAACCGATGCTATGCACACCCGAGTGCCCCCAGCCGTCCTGCCCCAAAATCTCCCTCCACCCTCCTCCGGACACACTGGAATCGACAGAAAAAGCCCCGAAAGCTCCCGAACGACAGCAAGTTAATGGCCCGCATCACTTAATGTCCATTTTCCACATCGAGCATCAATTACCACCAACAATCATATAAAGCGCTTTTCATTGTAATTCAGTTCTATCATTGAGAACAATGACATTATACCACTCGCACACAATTGCCGTCTAACTGCTGAAGAAGCTGCTGGAAGAAAACCTATTCACACAAAGTTGTGGACCTTGACAACTGTTTCCCCAGCACACGCTGGAACGTGTCAGAGAACGGGTTTGGTATGGCTCCCACCAAGGTAAACAGTAAACAGTTATTAAGACCAAAATCAGCACCGACTTCGGGACAACAAAAAGATGGAGCAATCAGTGTCAAAAATGGACCAATTTCTTCACTGTACAACCAAATGTGTTCTAGAAAGCTGCTGCTCATGTTCCGGCTACAGAAATGAGTGCTAGGGCACATTAGTGAGGGGAAACAGACGGAGCAAACTTACAGACGTAAATCCGAACTCCGTTTTGCCAAAGAGATTACTGAAAGTCATCACACCGATGCATAAGAACACCGGAAGGCCACGATCTCCTTCGCGAGTGGCAAGACCACTGCAAAGCAGCGTACTCAACCTCCGGGCAACAACAGCTGGACTTGTGATTCTCGGAAAATAAGCCTATTGGAGAGCTATTAGGTCATCCCATTCAAAAGTGCCGAGACATATAGAGGAATGGCAGAAAAGCAAAGGGGATAGAGCAGCGGGCTACTATACCATTTGGAAGCTAGTACCTTAAGCTGTGTATCTGTGAAATTTGGCGAACCTACC